GGTAATGTGTTTTCTCTAGTTCCTTTGATTCTCCAAATCTCTTTCCTTGTCAAAACTCTCAATATTAAAAATTTCTATATATGCTACTCCAGGTGGACATTTCAGCTCTAAAGAGTCATTACACACATGACCAGATCCTCAGTTCCTTCTCCGGCAGCTTTGACCTTGCTAATGTTCTCTGGGAAATGATGTAAGCGAGAGGTGCTCTGTACATGTCGCCTCCAAAGTCATGGGTCCCACCTTCCATGTCCAGTGTGGAGGGAAATCCATATCCCTTAATTCTCACACATCCCAGTTTTCTAAAATCCAAAATGAACTTGCAAATCCAGTATAACTATCAATTAGCTCTTAAAGATAACGTGAAAGAAAATTCTAGAATCAGAAACGATTATCGCAACCTACAACCTGACATCAGTTTTCATAAAAACATAACATTTTCCAAGAAGTACCAATGTTCTCAAAACCCATGGCATATCCAAATCCACTCAGATCGCAGATGTTACATATTGAGTCATTTTTCAGTTACTGTTATGCAAATCTCAATTGCTGCTTGTTTTGTTACTACTCTTCTAACTTGCTAGTTATAGCTAATGTCGATAACAAACTTGACTTCTTAAATTGAGCTTTTTAACTTATGGGGCTCCAAATTTTGGACACTTGTGCAGTTGGAACAAGTATTTTAATTGTGTATCAAATATTTTAATTGTCACATGTCAGTTAAATAAGGTGAAGGGTCACTCCCAATTATTCTGAGTAACTCTATACAGGGCTGTGGAAATAGACCAGACCCTTCTAAACCTTGTGTTATTTAACCCACAGGATAATGGCTACCTCTTACATGAAGCAGCCTTGTCTTCTCACCCAAACAGTATGAATTTACACTAAATGAACTTACACTGGATAATTTTTAGAAATTCTAGAGAGTATTTTGAAAAATATAGTGTGTGTGTGTGTGTGTGTGTGTGTATATATATATATATGTATATATATATATATTTAATTTCAATAGAATAACCAAGTATTGAAACCTAAAAAGTATTTTAGTCTCTTACTAGTGGCCTGGTTAACTTTTCACATTGCCTTATTTATTTTGTGCTTTTGAAATAAACACAGCTGTTCCAAAAGTTAACAGCCACCTTTTACTAAAATATAAAGGACTAAATTCATCAGGTTGTATAGTGGTGAAGTCTCCCTTCCTTAACTGTCATAGTGTCTTTGTGGACATAATTTCCTTGTTGTCCATACCACTCACTGGTGAATAGAAATGCTTTTGATTTGAGTCTTTTAGCCATGTGACCTCCTCAGTACCCCTAGGTCTGTTTACACATCTGCTTGGAGCAGTATTCCCAAAGGGCCTCCTGAGGGAATGCAGAACTTCCACATGTGCCATCTCAACCTCATCTAGCTAAAAGTGCTTTCTACAGGTTTACTTTTCAGAATGGTATCCAGTGGGGTGGTGTACACTGGTTTTTGAAGGTCCTGGGAGGAAGGAGTGACCTACCTAACCTTCCTACATCTCCTGCAAGCTTTCTGCTTCTCTTTTTTTCTTCCTTTTTTGGATCAAGGCTGTCAGACTTGTTTGTGCTGTCTTTGTCATTCACTATGTAATTATACCGTGGCCCAACCTTATCTGTGCCACGTGTACATATCTGTGTGTGTATGGTCTGATTTATGACCATACAAATCTGAGTACATTTAAACAACCTCTGCAATAGCCCCCTTTTTTGATTTTTCAAAGTGATTTGCCTCTTAAATAACATAAGCACCATTTTGTGCTGTTTTTGTCCTGCACTTCACCTTGCTACTAAAGAACCAGGACAGCTGATCATTTGATACATTTATCACTTCTCCCTTCGTTTCTTAAATAGGGAAATATATTTCAGTAGTTTACTCCTTTCCCCAGGAGGAATGGCGGTGGAGAAACCTTCCTATACACATCCTCCTCCTGACTGTGTGCACCTTGTTTGGAGAAGAGGAAGACCGTTTAAAAACGTCACTTTTAAGGGAATTTGTGATTATATCCTCTTGGTGTGAACTAGGTGCCCCATATTGTAGTAGGACTGTTTATGTCCAGCATGGACAAAACTCTGTTTCCCATTTTTGTTTTGTGGAAAGAGAAGTATATCATAATTAGGAGTTTTCTGCCATCATTTTTGCTCCTTAGCTCTTCCCAAAGCCCCTGAACATAGTGCAGCTGGTTTTGTTGGTCATCTCCTTCCCGACCCTGAAAAAATCAACTGTGTTTGTTTGCAAAGGTGATAAATTAGAGTTGCCTTTTCCCTGCAGATGATCCCTCTCTAATCTTGCCATATCCTTTCAAGAACCCTAGGCAGTGGAATAAGGTTGATCAGAGAGCTCTGGGGAGCAAGGTCTAGACTGTGAAAGGAATGGCGATCTGAATTCCTGGCCTTGATTTTTTCCCCCAAATCTGGAACAGTTTGATTGAAAGGGAGAATAACATAGGGGTGGGAGTGTACTGTAGGAATGCTGCAATACTGACCCCTTCCTATCCAAAGTGAGGCTTTTTCCTTTGCCATCATAGAGTTAGTTCTGGCCCAGTGGATATGAATCATGAGGAAAATTGCTGCTCCTGTTTTCTCCCTCCTGGAAGATCCAGCTGCCAAAGAATAGGCAGGTGTGCAGCCTGTTAAACTTGCAAGCTTGGCGCCCCCAAGAATTGTTCTTTCACAGGTTAGTCCCACTCACACGTGGTCCTTCGAGTGTTGCAGACCCTTAAGGTGATCTTTTTCTTTAGTTTTCTTTTAATCAGAAGGTTGCTGCTTGTACTAAAACCAGAGGGTTATGCCTTCCCTAGGAATTTATTAGAAGGATATGATTGTATCTTTATGACTGGGGCCTAGCGATTCTATTCTCATGAGCAAGCAATTTTAAACAGTAACATAATTTATACTAATAAACAGGACTGGGAAAAGGGCAGCCCCGAGGCAGAGAGGGGGGTATCAGTAGTGGATGGAAATGAAAATTGCTGTGAAAAGAGACACCAAAACTGTAGACCTGATATTTTTAGTGTCCCTGCAACAATCCTTTTACTTAGAGTGAGAATTTCCGCCGCTTCTGCACTCGAGACAGGATTCACCAGATGTTAATAATGTGCTTATTTTCTCTAAGTGCTATTTTGGCACCGGTGTTAATTACAATTTATATTCTGCAGCATTTACACTGGGAAAAGAACCCACCCTAATAGTCCCCAATTGGCAGAGCTGGGCTATTAAGCATAGTACCATATGTTCTGAGCTGAGAAAAGCATGGGACTTAGAGCCTGGTCAGCATTAAAGCTCCAAAATGAGTTTTATTGTGTGTGTGTTTTTCTTTTGTTATGGGGGTGCTGGGGAGTGGGGTGGAGGTGAAATGGATTGGAGCATACTTTCCCCTTCCCCCTTCTTTTAAAATTTATTTGATATCTCCTGCTTCAAAAAGAGGATCTACTTTTAACTTCCCTGCTTCTTATCCTAAGGTTCTGTGTCATTGTGGCATCTCCAGCTTTTTCTTCTGAGCAGCACATTGCTCATCGTTGTGCTGCATGAGGGCCATGAGAGGGACTAGAGCACCGGGTCCTAGCTGCTTAGATGACATGGAAGTGAATTTCAGCCAAAGAAAGTTTATGCATTTAAGGACCCTTAGCATCCCACTCTACATGAGAGAAGGGGGAAGGAGGTCTCTGAATTTGATTAAAATTAATTTTATGTTCAGGCTCAGAGAAGCTTGATTAAATATTCTTCCCATTCCATGGGAAGCTGCATGGTGCCATGGAAAGAGTGTTGGATTTGGAGCCAGCGGACCTGAATCCTGGCTCTGCCACTTACTACCCCTGTGACCTTGGACAACTTACTTAACCCATCTGGGCCTTATTTCCCTTAAATGTAAAACGAGGGGATTCTACGAGGTAAAGTACTTTCTACTGAAAAGTAGATTCTACTTTAAAGGGATTCTAGTGTAAAGTCCCAGGTCTTAAATCTATGATCCTTAATTTTTTTTTTAAGCATTTTGATTTGGTGGCATGACAGTCCATGTCCCTTTTTAAAACTCAAATGATAAGGAGTCGAGAGGCAACAGATATGTTTTTGGTTCCTCTGCATTTAGATGCCTTTAGTCATGCATAGGCACCCTGATGGGGAACTAGAGTCTTTGCTAAGGGCAGGTCCTGATTCAAGTTCCTTGTTTCATAGCTTTCATTTGGGATCCATTTCAGTAGCGACTTGTAAAGAACCTTGGAAACCTGATCTAAGTTGGCATCTCCTCACTTTTAGACACAGAATTCAGATCAGCATCTTCTAATCTTAAAGGATGGTAAGGAAAAAGCATTGGCCCCACGCTGTACAGGTTCCTTATGAGATAGGGAACGTTCTTTTTAAAAAAATCTTGGTCTAGCCTTGCAGTGCTGATTTTTCAAATCGTCAATCTCCCTTAACTGCTTCATGCTGGGACTTGTGTCTTGCTGTTGGCAGTGAGATGCCCTGCAGCTGCCAGTTCACAGGGTAAATGACTGAGAAAAGGTGATCCCTGGGGTGTAAAGGGTAAGAAGCTGCCACAGTGAATGCCAAGGCAGGTGTGTTTGTGTGTGTGTGTGTGTATGCGTGTGTGCGTGTGTGTGTGCGCGTGCGCACGCATGCTTAGGTGTGTATTTGATACAAGATTGTTGAATTTGCTTTGAAGTGATTCATTGTAAACTGAGAGACCAATACCACCCATGACTGAGACCATCCAGAGAGAAGCAAGTTTTAAAATAAATGCGTTTAAGATTGGATATTGAAGAGAAGCAAAGCATCTTGGTTCCATGATCCGTCAGCTAAATACTCCTTGTTTGATTAGATGTACAAGCAGATGATTTCCATAGAAACCAATGGGGATGTGGTCAGAGAAGTAATGATTAATAGGAAAGGGACCCTGCCTGGGGCCTTATTTTAGGGGGGAGGAGGAGAGGAAAACTGGAGTGGGGGGTGTTTTAGCTCTTTTAGAGGCGGGGAAACTCAAAATGGAAAATCCTTATTTCTTCCATTAAGTTATGAAGGCAGCCTTCCTCTTCTTCCTGTCCCCATTTTCACTTGCTGCTTTTAGGATTTGAAAATTGCTGGAAATAATAATAAAAAAAGTTAATGGATGAGGCAAGATGATTAACATTGTTGCTGTTAGCAGCAGGATCCTGGCCATTTCAGCCATAAAACATGAAGCAAGGGAGACATTGACCTTTCTGCTGTTGAAATAAATGGAAACGTCGATATCCATTGTTTTCAATGGCATCGACCTCTTGACACCCCTATTTTTCCCCCCACTTTTTTTTATTGACAGTAAAAGGGTGGAGATGAGGAGGGTCTGAGGGAGAGACACTTGTACCAGTCATTGATCTCATTGAGGAAAGAGAATTAGAACTATCTGAGACTTGCAGAATACTCGACATGAATGGAAATTTGAAAACTGTAGATCTGACAGAGGGAGATCAATTTAGACTTAATTATCATACTTTTTCAGGCTCTTAAAAAAAACCACTCATGTAGAATTTTATGTTGTTATCGTGAGGTCAAGGCACCTTATTTTTTTTCCCCCTGCAGTCCCACTGCTGCGAATTTCATCAGTGTACCAAGAATCATTGTTAAACCAGGCATTGCTAATTAGCTCTATGACAATTAAGTAATGTAGTGCAATGCCATTAGGACATAAGATCAGTTTTTGAAGTTTGTCCTTTGAAGTGGAAGCTGCAGCTCCACTTAAAGCTGATGGGGGGGAGGAAAGGGGGAGGAATATCTTTTTACCAAAATTCTAATGAGATACAAAAGCCTTGGTGACTGTGAGAATATTCACCTGTGTAGTCAGTCTCAGGTATGCTCACTCACTCGGGTACCTGCCCCCATGCATACGTAATCATGTCAGGCTTGTAATTCTTGTACAATGATTGTCAATAGTGTTGATTTAAGTGGAGTGAAACTGGTCGCTTAATTTATTACTGTCCCTTTGTGTGTGTGACTTTTACAAAAAAAAATTGTATCCATTCATCATAGGGTGATTTAAGAAGAGACTTACGATGTCAACAGTGTTACAATTTAAGGAAGCTCAAAGAGTCCGGGTTTATCATGTGATAAGGTGCTATATTATTAACAGCAGGAAACAGAACCTGTTTACAAGTGAGTGACAAATTCCTCAATTTTAATGACTCCATCTGTGCACTTGGTTTTACACTTGTATTTTGCAACTGGATCTTTGTGTTCATAGTATCAAACCACATATTGAATGTGCTATTTTCATGTAAATTTGTGGCATGTAAAAGATTTCAAATAAAGTGAAATGGATTTTAAAAAGGTTACCTTGTGTCTTTTGCCCCATTTCTGAGAGGGGATTATTGGTGTTCAAATGAAACCTTGTGAGTATAAATCAATTATCATCCATAGAAGTCTTGTTGAAATTCCAACTCTATTGTGTATGCCATCAGGGGCTGAACAAGATCTCTTGATCCACTTTTACAAATGGACCATCCCAAACAATAGCCTCTTGTATGGAGGCTTTCCTCTATTCACCTCGTTCACAGAATCACAGAATCTGGGAGTTAGAAGGGAATTTGGTAGCTATAGAGTTTAACCTGTACCTGACTGAGAATTTCTGCATCCCCAACAGGTGCTCATCTAATCCCGATTTGAAAACCTGTGAGAGGGTACCATCTCCTGAGACTGCCTGTTCCCCTTTTGGACAGCACCAGTTATTAGGATTTTTTTTCTTCTATGGAACCAAAACCCTTCTCTCTATAACTTAGACCCACTGCTCCTAGTTCTGCTGTTTGAGACCCAAGCATATCAAATCTAAACCTTCTCCCAAATGACAGCCCTTTATATACTTGCGACAACTCTCATGTTACCCCTAAGTCTTCTCCTCCATAGGCTCAACGTCCCTAGTTCTTTCAGTCTTTCTTCCTGTTTTGTGGACTGAATTCATTGTCACTGTCCCAGTCACCATCCCACCCATTAGTTTTCTTCTTCAAAAATCACACTCAGAAGAGAACACAGTACTCTAAGCATGGTCTTCCCAGAGCAGAGTGCAGTTGGATTATCATGATATTTGATTCCACAAACATCAAGCACCTATTTGCAAAGCTCCTGCTGCTGTAGCTACTGAGAGAGCTATGGTAATGAACTTCATAACCCCTGCCCTTAAGGAATTTACAGTCTAGTAAGGGAGTTAAGACCTAAACAACTATAATGCAAAGCAGTAGACCTGCATGAGGGAGGTATAGGGAAAGAGGTATGAGAATTCAGAAGAAGAAAAGATCATTTCTGGCCAAGAAGATCGGGGGAGGATTTATAGGAGTTTTGAACTGGGCCTTGAAGGATCAGTAGGATTTCAGCAGGCAGTGATAAAGAGGGAAAAGGCATTCTATGACTGAGGAACAGTAGAAGGAAAGTTTCCCTATAGAAATATGGAAAACTCTATATTTGGGCAATAGTGAGTAGTCAGGTTTGGCTGGAATTGTAGAGTATGTGATAACTGATACTTATATAGTCCTTTAATGAATGCAGAATGCTTTCCATAACTCATGTGAGCCTCACAATAACTTTTGGAGGAAAGCTCTCATAGATGAGGAAACAGAAACTCCGAGGGAGGTTAAATGATGAAGTGGCTGGCATACATGCAGAATTTGAAACCAGGTCTTGACTCCAAATGCAGTAATAATAATAATAATATAGTAGTAGGGGCAGCTAGGTGGTGCAGTGGAGTCAGGAGGACCAGAGTTCAAATGTGACCTCAGTTACTTACTAGCTTTGTGACCCTGGGCAAGTCACTTAACCCTGATTGCCTCCCCCAAAACAAAGATGACAGTAGTAGTAATGGTAGCAGCTAGCATTTATATAGTGCTTTCAAGGTTTACAAAGTGCTTTGTTATTTTGTTTGAGGGGTCATCTCTTTTGATCCTCACAACAACTCTTGTGAGGTAAGTGCTATTGTCTTCATTTTGCTGATGATGGTAAAATGACTTGCCTGGGGGTGCACAGCTCCTCCATAGGCTCAGCACTCCGAGTGTGTGAGGCAGGATTTGAACTCAGGTCTTCCTGACTTCGAGTCTAGAACTCTGTCCACTGCCTACCACCTAACTGCTGGTATTCTGTAGAATTGTAAAAGGTTTAGCATGTTAGGGAGAGGCCAGACAACAGAGGGCCTTGAATTGTTAACTGAGGAGTTTAGAAGTCATTTGCTAAGTTTCAGGGGAGCTGTTGAAAGATTTTGAGCAGTTGAGTGATGTCATCTGCATTAGGAAGATTAATCCTGCAGGATTGACTTTGGATTAGGGGGAAAAGATGGAGAGATTGGTTAGGAGACTACTTCAGCAGTCTAGGCAAGTCGTGATGGGGGCCTCAACTAGAGTGGTGGTAATGGGCTTGGAAAGGAGTAAATGGAGGGGAGAGGTAGAGGCCATACCTTGTGAGGACTGAGTCTGGGACAAGGGATATGGAGGAGTCAAAAGGTGACCCCCAAGTTTCAAGCCTGGATAATTAGGAGCATAGGCGTATATTGTTATCAACAATAATATTAGATAACATTTTTATAGCACTTTAAGGTTTGCCAAATATTTTACCTGTGTTACCAAATTTTAGGAAAATACAGTTTTGAATATATTGAATTTGGGGTACCAAATGGACTTAGAGGTAGTGATGTTTCATAGAAATGGGGAATGGGAGCTTGCAGGGGAGGTCAGGATTGACTGTAATTTTGGGAGTCCTGCATAGAAGTGATAGCTCATCTTCTGCAAGGTGATGGAATCTCTGAGGAAGAGGGCCTAGAGTAGGAATTCCCAATGTTTTTCAGTCCCTGTACCCCTTAGTTTTCAGGAACCTTTCCTGTATTCCCTATTTGATACGAAAAGTAAATAAATTCCAGAGTTTTATCCATATGTACATTTAGAAATAAAATTAAGAGATTAAGTTTCAAAAGGATAATGTTATTACTTACTAGATATTCCCCATGCTTTTAGAGAAGCCTGTTGTACTCCTTGAGGGTATGTGTACCCCAGTTTGGGAAGCCCCTGGTATAGGGAAAGAAGGGAAGAGAGAGCCAAAGACAGGAAATCAGATAGGTACTAAACCAAATCTCTGTAGGCTTGGTCCAAGTCTACCATATAAACAGAATTGCCCCATGATTTTCCTACTTTTAGCCAAGCGCTAGGGAGGGAGAGAGAGAGGGAGCTGAGGTTTTTTTAAAAAAAATCTATTCCTTAATACAGTACTTCAGCAAGTGTCCTTCCCAATATAAGAAGGAGCTGACCATTCTAACTACTAAAGCTAAATGTGACAGCTGGGTGATATTAGATGGGAATTTGTGTAGTTGAGAGAAATTACAGCCACCCTTACTTCAGAGACACATTTATGACTCGATCATTACAATGACAGATAAGAGTGAGGGAGAGGGGAGCCAAGTCTAAGAAATAACTCTGAAATATGGCAAAATGGTGAAAGCATTAAGGGGATGGCGGGGAAGTGGCTGAATCATAACTAATCAAAAGTCTCTAGGCCAGCACAATTGAATGAAGCATTGGCTAGATCTCTGTTTCTCAGCCATACCAGGCTTGACCCTGGATTTCTCCTTTCTGTAGCTTCATGAGGGCTGGGGAAAATAGTTCAAAAAGTTTCCTGGGACCCTGCTGCCTAAATTGCCTGGCAAAGTAAGCTTTTTGTGCATATTATGTGTGGAAATATGTGTGTGTGTATGTATATATATATGTGTATATATGTGTGTATATATATATATATATATATATATATATATACACATATTGTATACACACACACACACACGTCTGGTGATAGTCTTTCTTCTACAGAGCACTTCATTTATCATGGTAGACAAACCCAATAGGGTTACTTTAGACATAACTCTCCAGCTTGTGTTTGCTTCTTGTACTGTTTTTTGTTACTGTTGCTGTTGTCTTTGTTTGTTTTGGTTTTTCTACTGTCCAGGTGGAACTTGTGCTTTTGAATTAGAAGTTTTCCTGACCACTATACAAGATTAAGTGTTTTTTCAAGGTTTGCTGAGACTTAACACATTTTTTTCCCCCTCACTCACTCCCAAACCAAATCTATCTTGTGGTAGAAGTAAAAACAGACAAGAAGAACCAGTAGGTTTGCATAGTATTCCCTGTCCATAACAGACTTTAAAGCATTACATTCTGACACTTAGAACTTCAACAATGGAGACATGACAATTCTGGAGATGTAGAGAAAAATAGAAAACAATTGTATCAACAGCACGTAGTAGGTGCTCAATAAATATCTGACTATGGATGTATGTATACATACATACATACACACATACATACAATACATATATATTTATGTATGCACAGATGTGTTACCTATAACTTTAGCACTGTAAGGACCAAAATTTAAGAATACCTCGAAGGGCCAAACTCCATCAACTGATGCAATGCATTTTAAAAAAATCTATAAAGCAAACAAAATATAGATAGGATGGAAAAATTATAATATATAATTATAATAAAATTTTTGTGTCCATTGACATACCTGGTTCTTCTAATTTTATATATACACTTCTAATTTTTCCTGAATAATGAGCAACAGTCTTAGAAAGTGAGACTATTAAATATGAGGAAAGAACTTACCTGAACAAAGCCCATTTTTGCCCCCATTCTCCAGATCCAAGCCACACCTTCATCACCTCCAGCTTGTCTCCAAAGTCCCCTCTCTTGTGGAAGCCCAAGATTAGTTTGTGGAATGAGGAAGCCAGGAAGGGTGTGTAGGCCTGATGGCTGTGGGAGAAGGCAATGAGAGAGCCTTCATTGTACTCCCCAGACCAGACAGCCAAATTATGGCGCTGGACAGGATGTTGACAGCTTCACAATATGGGTTTCTCTTTTGTTTGTTTTGGCTACTTTACAACATTTCTGAGGGTCAGAAACCTCACACCTGCCAGATGGTGGTGGCTTCTGACACACTACTCTGGCCTGAATGATGTGTCTTTGTGCCCAGAGGTTTCAACAGGCAGTCTGCCCCGAAGCTTTCACCTCCACCCTCTGTTGTGCTCCCTTACAACAATTCCTTTGTATGACATGCAAATACCCCTTGGAGGCCTGGGCTGCTTTGTTTTCAGCCTGTTGCTGAGCTGGGAATACTAGTTAGTTCAGACTAGACCATGGCAGCTTTAGCTGATGTTCTGTTAGGGAGGGCCTATATGTTCCTGGGAAAATAGAGGTCACGGTGCTACCCTAAAGGAGACTGTCAACTGTAAATAAGGGATAATTTTACAGGCATGTGGAACCTTTCCCTCTAGGTAAGCACCTCAATACCAACTTGAAAATGGTTTGAGCACTCAGCATTGAAACCAAAGGGGTATTTTCCTTGATCATATCTGCTCCACAGTAGCAGAAAGATGGTTGCATAGTTACCTGGTAAATTTGTGACTGTCTAGACAGCTAAACTGGCCTGATTGTCAACATGGTCTTAGATTCACCTGATGGTCACATAGTCATCTAGTGAATTTGTGACCATCTACATTGCCAAACTGGTTTGATTGTCAACATGGTCTAAACTTCATCTGATAATTTGCTTTTGGTTTAGCTAGGCAGTGTGGTACAGTGGAAAGACCATTGGCTTTGGAGTCAGAGAACCTAGGTTTGAATCTTTCTTTGCTTTACTACATACATACTCTTTCATATGTTGTTTGGCACATCACCTACCCTCTGTGGCTTCAGTTTTCCCATCTGTAAAATGAAGGGATTGAACTCAATGATTTTTTAAAGGATCCCTTTAAATCCTGTAACCCTGCAGGAATTAGAGGCTTAGTAAGCTTCAGAGGCCTCTAGCCTTTCCAGGGAAAAAATTCATTTGTTCATTCAAAAAATGTTAATTGAGTCCCTACTATGTGCAAGACATAGAGCTAAATCTTGAATACTGTGCATTTTGGCAGTGATAAGCTTTTAAAGGAGACCTTAAAGCTGGGCTCCATCTCTCTGGTTCAGCTCCACTGAACTTTCATGAAGATTTGCCCCAGATTCTAAAACCTGGAGCTTTCCCTACTATTATTTCACCACATTTCTTTCTTTAATATTGTTGATGCAGCTTTCTTTTCATTAGAATGAAGATGATATAAGTGGTACCCACCTTACAGCATCCTGATAATCTGAAACTTGGGTTTCAAAAGTATAAATTCCTGACCCTGGTATTCAAGGCCTTATACAATCTGGCATCACCTTATCTTTCTAGCCTTATCTTATACTACTCCCTTCACATATTCCAGCCAAAAAGAACTACTCTGTTCTCCTCTTCCCAATTTTTTGAATTTCCTCCTTTCCTTTAAGGCTCAGCTCGGATGCTACTTCCTCCATGAACTCTGTGAAAGTATAAATACTCTCACCTCAAATTTTACATATAGGGTAGGTGGGTGAATTTGGTGTTGGCTATACCCTAAGGCCTTGTCATCCACCCTGTTTCTGCACAATAAGGACTAACAGGACTTAATATCACCTTTGCAGCTGAACCCTCCTATGTGTGTTGTCTCCCCTATTTCAAATGTAAGCTCTTTGAGAGCAGAAATCATCTCACTTTTCTGTTTGTATCCTCAATGCTTAGCAAAATGCTTGGCGCATAATAAATGCTTTTTCATTCCTTCATTTATTCTTTCAAAGGGTTATCTACTCACTCATCAAGGTGGGAATTTACCATGTTCTCTTCCTTCCTAATTACAGATCTTGTAAACAGTTTCACCTATGGCTACAGGTTGTGACTTTCATTTTTGTTTTAAGGGGTTCTTCTCTTCCTCCCTGAAATATGGAGCTGATAGGCCATTGTTAATTTCTTATTGACTTCAGATGCATGTCCAATAATGAACATCAGTGGTTGGGCTCTAGACTCAGGACCCCATTCTATCTTCAATATTCAAGGTGGTTTCTAGCTGGAAAAGGATTGTGTAGCTTTGTATCAGAGAGGGAGTTGAAATATATTTAGATTAAATAAAGCATTTATGAAGCACTTAAATTATGTGCTGGCCACTGTGCTAAGTACTGGGAAAGCAAATCAAACAGAAGGGTAGTTTCTGCCCTCAAGAGGCTTACATTCTAATGGGGGAAGACAACACATAAAAGGGAGCTTAAAAAGTGTCAGGGTCAGGGTCGGGGGAGGGGGGAGGTGTAAAAGTTCAGGAATAGAGCCAGGATAGAAGGGAGCATGCCTGGCCTGGACACTTCCTTAAGTAGAGATTCCAGGCAAGAACTCACCAGTGGGGATGGGGCTAAGGGATGGAGACATCTCCAGTGTATAAAAGCAGGAGCAGAGGTAGAGAAGTCCAGAGAGTCAGGAAAGGAGTTGGGTTAGAAGTAAGCATGGAATTTGGAGCTCAAAATTTTTTTAAATGAATGTGAAAAACATTTTGTTTATACGTAATTGAGAAAAAAATTTAAAATGTTTTAAGAAAGAAGCGAGCATGGCTGACCTGGGCAATTCCTCCAATGGAGCTTCTAGGCAGGAATTTACCATTCAGAGGAGGGGACCACGAGGGTGGAATTTGTCCTTCATGAAACACAGACTCCTAAGTGATCTAAATTAAGTACTCTGATAGAGCCCTGTCTGACCCATATGTTTCAGATAGATTCTGTCTTTGAACAGCAGACTATGATAAAGTGCCAGGATCCTAGGATTCATGATAGCACAATATGGAAGCGAGTATATCCATGCAGCCTGCTACACTAAGGTGGTGCCAATCCTCCAATTTAATCCTGCCTTCAGCATGCTGAGAGTTTGGGCTGCTCTGTGAGACACACAGCCCCCCGACTCCCAAACTGCCATGTGCCTCTTGAAGAGATTCTCTAAACCCTCAGCCTTTTCCTTTCAGAAAGTGAGTAGTGGTGACATTCAGGGAATGATTTGTCTGAATTCCAAAAGAACATGTATGTAACTTACCCAGAAACTTACCCTTCCTTACCAGAGGGCTTCAGCAGCTCTCCGACCTTGTACTCTCTCACCAGCCTTGATGATTGTATAAACAACAGACAGAGCATTGCTGTGGCCTTTGGTCTTCAGAGCAATGTCAGCTAATCTGTGAAAGGCAGTAAGGGCATCCATTGAAAAAATGTTGTAAGATGTGTCCTGTAGAACAATAGTGCATTTCATTTGGAAGCATGGCCTAGCTGGAAGCACCTCGGTCTAAATCTGATCTTCCATCCTAGCTGTGTGACGATGGGAGGCCATGAGTTTCCTCAGCCTCAGTTTCCTCATCTGTAAAACTGGGATGATAATTAAGTCTGTAGTATTACAACCACTCAAACAGGGGCTCCAAAACTTTTTGTGTGCCCTGGACCTCTTGAGCAATCTGGCAAAGTCTACACACCCCTTTTTAAAAGACTATTTTTGCTTTTTTTTCCTTTTGGAAAGGCAATTAGGGTTAAGTGACTTGCCCAGGGTCACACAGCTAGTAAGTGTTAAGTGTCTGGTCTGAGACCGAATTTGAACTCAGGACCTCCTGACTCCCGGGCCGGTGCTCTATCTACTGTGCCACCTAGTTGCCCCAAAAGACTACTATTTTTAAATACATAAAATGTGATACATAGGATTACAAAGGAAATCAATTATCAAACTATTTTTTTTAAAAGTTCATAGACTTCAGGTTAAGAACCTCAGCAGTTCCATTCTTTGCAATTGTATCATCAGTGCCTAGCCCCAGCATAGTGCCTGCCACATAGTGGCACTTAATAAAATGCTTGTTGATTGACTGATTGATTGATTGACTGATGGTACCAGGATTGCTCAGAGGCTCAAACAAGATAATGTGCATAAAGATAATGTGCAAGCTTTAAACTGCTATCTAAATGTCAACTTTCTAAGATTATGAATTTGCAGGCAATGGGCCCTCCCTGCATTGGTAGAGGGCATTCCCTCATTTGGGAGTTCTCCATTCTGATGAAGTTACATGTCTAGTTCCTATCTGTTTTTCTATCTCTTGATGACTCAGAGAACTAAAAATGAATACAGCCTTAGCCCTGAAAACAGACTATTCCCCCATTTTTTCCTTTCCTTTCCTCTGCATTGTGTAAAGCTAGAGTCCCCTCTTCATAAGGCACTCTTCTTTTCAGGTTAAAGGGGATCACAAAGGTCATGGGTTCCAGGTGAGACCAGTTGTCTTACTCACTGAAACTTGACCTTCAGAATGACCTCCCCTTTGATTTTCTATTCTTGGGGAGGAATGTTGAGAGGCAGTGATATAATGGAAAGAGTATAATGATGAGAGTTAGGAGAATCAGACTCCAATACTCTATAACCTGAGCCAGAGAGAAGGCTATCTCTAGATCTCCTCCTTAGGGGATTATAATACGGAATCTCATCCAGCTCTGAAATTTAGTGAGAAATGAATTATACTTCAAGGGCCTCCAGACACATGGCCTCTTCTTGGTAGCTATGCTTTGTACCCTATAAAGGGAGTTTGTGAATCCATGCAATGTATGGTTAGGGAAAGGCAGCCAAGATAGGGAGACTGTATAGGCCTCAGAAGTGACTTCTTGGTCATTGAGGCACCTTACACTAAAAACCCTGCAGCCAGCTGACCTGGTAGCCAGATCTCCACATGGAGGTGACTTGAGTTTTTTAAAAGCACCTTGACTTAGAGAGGTAAGCATGATGGCAAGAATGTGAGGAGCAAAAAATGAATGCCAAAATTTTTCTTGTTATATAACTGGGGAAAAATAAAATACTATTAAACTGAAAAAAAATTTTTTAAAAGAATGTGAGGAGCAGTGCCCTCACACTGTCAGGCTGATTTGGTCAACTAAGAACCTTGGCCTAGTACCTGTTGTTTCAGACTTTAAATTTAAAGATGACCAGCTGGTTTTTAATCAGACCAGATGGCAGCTGGAGGGGAGGGGAAAGGTGAATTTTTATATTTTTTAATTTTCTCTTATCTATCATTGCCACCACCCCCAGCTTTAAAGAAAAACAAAACCCTTGTCACAAATGTGCATAGCTAAGCAAAACTTAATTCCCATACTGTGTGTGTCCATAAATGTGTTTCTTAATCTGCCCCTTTAGTCCATTACCTGTCAATAGATGAGTAGATATTGAGGTATAGACCTAGTAGAGGTTTGCACAGTTTGGGCATTGTTCCCAATTGCTTTCCAGAATGGCCAGACCAATTCTCCTCACCAGCAGAGTATTTTTGTGTGTGTGTGTGTGTGTGTGTGTGTGTGTGTGTGTGTGTGTGTGTGTTTGCAT